CTTATCTCTTGTCGTTATGATAATTCTACTGCCCAAACCAAACCAATCACAACCTCCAACTAAGTTGTTTAACTGGTCCAAATGATCCACATCATCTACAATTACAAGGACCTTTTTATGACTCAACCTTTCCTTTATCACATTGATTCCTTTATCGGCACTGGTAACCTCTATTTCCTTTCCCCTTAGAATCTCATAAAGAAGAAAATTTTGTAGGTCGACTAGGCCTCCATATGGTATTGATCTTTCTCTTATATTTCCCAGAAAACAACCCCCTTCAAACACATGGACCAGTGAGTTATAAACAGCTTTAGCAACAGTTGTCTTTCCTATTCCACCACTCCCGCATATTCCTACCATGCGAACATCATTTCCGTCAACATCTAAAAGATAACGAAGATCTTGTAGACGATCCTCTATTCCGACTTGGTATTTTGCCACATTGATATGGGTATCATTTAATAATTTTAAGGAAATCCCGTTGACAATGTTGTGAATAAATTCAGTTTCACGGCTGCCAATTTGAAGCACAAACAACATTTAAATAAAAAGGGATTTTTCTATATATGTTTTAAAGAAGTGCTCGACTCGATACTAGTGTGAATTATGTCGTGAATTTTGGATGATGGAGTTACTTCATCATGAAATTTGATATGTCTAGACACTTCTTCTCACTAAAATCTCGGTTTAATAGTTAAAAGTTGAATTCAATATCCATAACTGTCTTACTACGATAACAATAGAAGAGATTGGTTTTCGTAACAGAGTGATTTTATTAGAAAGGGGAGAAATACACTGCTTGGTGTAGAACTATAGGCTATTAATAATGTAGCTATTGCCATTGGTTGGCTAATTGGCCTTTCAGTGATGTAACTATTTGCTACTTAGTGGGTTTGTAGGACTGCAGGATTTCATCCAACAAAAAAAATAAAGGACTGCAGGATTCCACTGGCATATTACACAAAGCCTTGTAATCTCCTCTGTTTCTATATTACTTTGTTTCTATTAGGTTGTGTGAGGCTTAGATATAAAACTAGTGTTTGGCTTTCTAGTAGATTTCTTAGTTACAATACACATTACAACGCTTCAATCCTATTTACTGGCAATGTTTTCCGGCAAGAGCGCCATGTATACGACTTCGCCTCCGGATCCTAAATGTATAGATAGAAATATATCGCATTCAGAAAAGAAAAATATATATAAAAACAAGGAAAAAACATACCCCTCCCAGTAAGGCGACCCAGCCAAAGATGCAGCCATTGTAAGAGCTTCCTTCCATCTCAGCACCTTCTTCATATTGTCTTGGAATTTTCTTTCATCATCGTTTGTGAGTTTCTCGTCTTCGAATTTGCGTTCATGGTTAGCAAGTGCCTCACCATAACTACCTCTTTGATGCCGCACATCCGAGGGATCCACTTTGTAGAAAACTGGCCAAACCATTTGTTGTTTAGAATTTCTACATTGAATGATATGAGCGAGTTCATCCAAGCACCACTTGGAGGATGCATAATTTTCAGAGAATACGACGACAGAACACCTCGATCCTTCAATTGCATCGACAAGTGTTTGTGATATTTCTTCTCCTCTTGGGAGCTCATAATCTATGAAGGTTCTGATGCCCCTCTGGACCAAATTTTTGTGTAGATGGTCTGTGAAATTGTCCCGTGTGTCCTCACCTCTAAAGCTGAGAAAGACATCGTGTGTCCATGAATTGGTGAAAGAAGAAGAAGAAGAAGGGGAAGGAGCTCCTAATAATCGAGTGGTGTCTAGATCCATATTGTTGAAAATTGAACAGGCTGAAAGGGTTGGACATTATAGTGATTTATTGTCCAAGAGTCTCAAGAGCCCCTACCGCTGCTGGGTTAGTGGGGAGAAGAATCATGTGAGTGAAAGTCTTGGTCTTTCTGGGCCCCAAGAGCCCCTACCGCTGCTGGGTCTTTCTAGACCCGAGGGTCAGTTCAACCAAAAAGTACCTTGGTAATAATAACACACTAGTAAAAAGGTTTATACATCTACTAAACTTCCACTCATACGTCATGACAAAGAGTAAGTGCCCGTTTGGCATTGCTTATTTGGGGTGATAAGTGACTTTTAAAAATTTTTGGGAAGCTCAACCCATTTGGTAAACTGTGAGAAAATCATTTATTGTTAAAAATTGCTGTGAGAGAAAGCTATAAGGGAAAGCAGCTAATGAGATGCTGTCATTTTCTGATTATGCAGAAATCAGTTTCGAAGAGGCGTTGGGTTTAATGATTATGTAGCAATCATTTTCTGATTTTGTTGAAATCAATATCAACAACACTTTTAACAAAAATTTTACCAAACGCTGCTTTCTCTTACAGCTAATTTCTCTCACAGCAAATCTAACAGCGATTATTTTCACAGTACAGCAATGCCAAACTGGCCCTAAGAGTTATTACTATTCATGTGAAATTGATCAAGGAAAGTGCTTGACACTCTGTCTTTAAAGGCTGTTATTATTCATGTGAAATTGATCGATGAAAGTGCTTGATACTGCGTCCTTAAGACAGTTTACGCCCCACTACATTATACAACCACCACTTACTTACAATTTTAACTTTTTACATATTACATTTCAAACCATCGATATTTTTGAAACCATCGATATTTAATACTTTACTTCTTACCAAAATAACTTTCCTTATTTATTGTAAAATTAATGAGACTAACTATTTAAAACAAAACCCATAATTTCACTCATAATAAGCATCAATATACATCACAGATGCGAAGTCAAAGGGAATAAGAAAATGGTCAAAAGGGAACACCGACAAACCACAAAAAGAAAAAGGAAAAAGAAGCATCAATACGCTTTCGTGGCAACGTGGTGTTTACCAAGTAATCGGGGGTGTGAAAAAAAAGAAGACAAAAGGTCGTTTGTTGATGAAGATGACTGAAATAGATCAGGATTGTCAAAAACAACCTCCACAATTGTTAAAAGAGAGTCAGTTTAATTCATAATGTTTCATGCTAACTATTAGATAGAAAAGTTTCATATAACGTATGTGAGTTTAGTATATTATCACCTTTCTCGATAGGTTAGGTCGTAAAATTATATATATATATATCATCTAACAATTGAGACACATAACCAAATTAAAAAACTGGATTGTAATTAAAGCGATATTTTGTTGATTAAAAATGAATGCAATTCTTAAAAATAATATAATGAACCCATTCACATAGAGTGAGAGGGACTTTGTTCGATCTTTCCTTCGAGTAGAAACTTGTTGAGTATCAGAATGAAATCTTTATATGGTCAATAGCTGGATAGTGACCATATCTTCGAATGTCAAATAAGTTTTGGGGTGGATGGTTTCAATTGTGTTGCCACCAAATATATATTACAAGATCAAACAGGCTGTTACTAGATAGTAACTTTTTAATTAATGATGGCAAGGGCTAAAATAAGATGGAGGATTTAATCAAACTTTTTGTTTGATGATGCTATAGTCAATTGTTGCATGACCAATACCTTTTCCTATTTTTAGTTGAAGAGGTGTCCTTTTTTTGTTGTTGTGGTTTTCCCTGTGTATGCTCTTGGGATTGCAGTACTTTACTCTGTTGTGATCAATGTTATGTCTAGAGTACCAAATATTATATAACTCCCTCATTGTAATTTCTGTAACTCATAACTCGCAAGAAAGAATTCTACCTCTCCGTAGTTTAGACAATAACTATTTAATTAAAGATTACAATCTAGTTTGGTTATGTTTGTTAATTGACTAGATATATATAGAGCAAAAGGCAGAGAATGGTGAAACATTCAAAATACCAAAAAATGACATTGATTAATACAAACATTAAAAATTGAAATTATTAATTAAATGAGGATAATATGGTAAATTCATACTTTTTCATATTAAAAAAAAATATAAATAAATCCTAAACCATTTATATTGACGAGTTATTCCTCTTCAGATTTGTTGGGGACAGTTTTCCAGTAAAGCAAGGCTTAACTCTTCAGATTTGTTGGGGACAGTTTTCCAGTAAAGCAAGGCTTAACTCTTCAGATTTGTTGGGGATAGCTGGAGTGGATTAATTTTTCCAGTAAAGCAAGGCAAGAAACATGTTTTGTTTGAATTGTTCTAGTCGTGACAGAACTATACCATTTCCTCTGTCTGGCTAGCGCACTTTCTGGGTTAATCATGCTTCGAGAAAATGAAAAAGTTGCAACTCTCCAACTTTAAAGAAAAGGGAAATAAAAAATGAAACAATAATTTCATTGTCCAATGCCATGGTTTAACATTTTGTATGTATAATGTGTTTTTGGTTCGAGCCACAGTGGAGGAAGTAAGTCAGTGGGAGTTTTCTTTGGCTTTGTGAGAGAGATGTGCAAGTTTGTGAGTTTGGGTTCTTGAACCATAACTTTTCACTGATCTGTTTTTTTATGTTTTGCCAAAGACTCTTCACTGTTCTTTACTCGTTACTCCTTGTAAAATCGTATAAATATCCAACCCGTTGGCACACAGGATTTAGTTTTAGGAATCTTCCTTAGGAAGAGAGAGAGAGAGAGAGAGTAGAAAGTGGGGTATGAGTTTTGTTGACTGAATGAAAAGCTTCCCCGTGGGCTCACGGAACTCTCTTCTTTAGATTGTGGGCGACTTGGCATATTACTATTCATCAATAGTATTACATTGCATCTTAGTTTTTCTTTTGTCTTATTACAACAATTCTCTTTCTCCGAAATACCTTTCACCTCTTCTTCATCATCTTCAGTGAAAGTAGCCATCTTCATTATCTTCACAGCTGAAGTAGTCATGTTCCGAGTCTTGCTCATCTTCACATAGATCAACACAATTATCTCCATCAAACCTCTCATTAGCATCTTCCAAGTCATCGGATTCAGACTCACCATCTTCCGTAAATATAGACAGGTCTTCATCATCCTGTGTCATTACCAGGTGGACCCCGAAGCTTTTAAAACGCAGCGAATCTGCTGTCAAATTCTGAAAATTAACTCGACACGCAAAAGGCGACTGAGGCCAGGTAATCTGATCATCAACTAGCACAGGAAAGTGTGCTAGTTGATCATCGACTGAGGCCACGTAAAACATTTCTCTGAATCGAACATAGCACAGCCACACATGACCTGACCCTATCTTTCTGAAATGGTTATCGAACTGAATAAAATGAGGTTCCACTCCTGGTTGATTGACTGAAATTTTTGTTAGAAACCAATGGTAAAGTCGTATATTCTTTTGCGGGTTGTCAAGAGCAGCGTATAGAGCCAATCCTTGGTTCTGGCATTTGAAGTTTGGGGGGATTTCAATCAAAAGTTCACATGATTCATCATGCTCCTTCACATCCTTATGACACCTGAACAACGTCGAGAGAGCTTCAAAACTTGCTGGAAATACAACCTGAAATCCATGTTTCCGTGAAGACAGAAGGTGATCAAAGAAGAGAGTGATCTGCTCCTTTGCTAAAATGTTTTGCTTCTTTGTGAGGTCACGAGCCAGATTGCCGCACAGTCTCTGGCAATTACTCAAGTCCACCAACTTAATCATTTGTGAGTCTTTTTTACCTTTCAGAATGTTGGACAATGATGAAAACCTTTCCAATGATATGCAATCACTCGCGTCTAACTTTACTATTTTTGGTGGAAGTTCCGGAATATCTCGAAGCCTCTTGCAGCCATGCAAGTAAAGATCCCGCAAATTGACAAATTTCGTAATCCATTCGGGAATACTTACAAGGAAATCACTTCGTGTTAGATCAAGTATGCTCAATGTAGACACACAATCAAGAGTCCTGAGGAAATTAAATTCTGATAAATTGCTTTCTTCCAGAGTGAATGCCTCAAGACTGGGAAGCACTAAGGGAAGTGATTCTGCATTCCCCAAAACTTCAGACTTCATTGTATTTGGAAATGTAACAAGTTTTCGAATTCCTCGGAGATGAATTTCGTTTAGATGTTCCAACTCATAAATGCTGGGTGGCAGATTCGTAAGATTTTCACAACTGCTTAGGTCTAAAAATTTAAGACTCATGAGATATGCAATTGACGCCGGAAATTCTTTGATGCCACTACCACATAGAAACATGTGATGTAAGGAATCCATCTTTCCCCCAATTTCAGGGAAAGTCTCCAGTCTTCTGCAATATTCAAGATTGAGAACTTCTAGAGATTTTGACTTGATTATTGGAAGTAGTGTGAGGTTATGGCAACCCTCAAGACTCAACCCCACAAGCTTATCATGAAATCCAACAGAAGGATGAACCTCAACTAAACTTGTGCAGTAGTCTAGATTCAAGGACTGTAAGTTTGGAATTCCAGAGATATTTGGGGTTTTTGTTAGGAATTCACAGCTCTCAAAATTCATGGACGTCAAATTTTGCAAACGCTATATAAGACAAAAATAGAAAAGAAAAAGAAGGATCAAACGATAAGGCATAAACAAGTTTAAGCCATAACGCCAAAAACTTAATAAACTTTTTAAAATACGAAGGGATGAAAATAATTTAAATTACCTTGAATCCCTCCCCAAGTTGTGACAAGCGGCTACGAGGCATATAAAGTTCAACAAGTTTCCTTGGATTGAAAGTAGATGGTAAAGTTTGTAAAGAACAACCAGGCCAATGAAGAAACCTCAACTCATTAGATAGATAATCCACGTGATCGCCATAAAATTGTGCATTCACATTGATGAAAAGTCGAAGGTTTTTCATCTTTGAGAAGCTGTCACCACTCAAGCATATGTCATCTGGTGTCGGAAACTTTGCTATGATGCCTTTAATATTGTTTGTTCCCTATTATAAAAAAGCAGTAGTGTTAACATACAAAGCTCTATAGCAAATAAAAATGCAAGTGTACAC